AGAGAGAGAGAGAGAGAGAGAGATATTTCATTATGAACGCCGTAACACCACAAAACTATCAAAGCAAAACTTGAGAGCGGGTTTGGTCCCTATGTTGACTAGTGTCCTATCAACAAAGTGAGATGGACCTAGATGTACATTTAAGAGAAAAGGAAGAGCCTGGGGCAGACAGACAAACAGACAAACAAACAGACAGACAGACAGACACCTCCTCCTACACAGTATATATATATGTGTACAGAGAACTTACGTCCGATTGGCTAACACTATAAAATCAGAATTTTGAAGAGAAATGTGCAAGCAGACTGACCTGCCTATACAGCCCTTTCCCCTTATAAAAATGTTATTCATAAACTTGATATTTGCTTTACCGTCCGATATTGTCAAGATTGATGTTTGAACGTTCGGGTTTTAGGAGTATCATCTTTCGCTGATAAGCCTATGTTTTGCTTCTCTTTCTTCCTCTGTTATTTTATTCCTTTCCTGTATCGCCATTTTTTGGCTCTATCTTTATCATTTGACTCTCACCACATCCCAATCGAACTTCCTCATTCTCTCTGTCTGTGTGTCTGTCTGTCTGTGTGTCTGTCTGTCTGTCCATCACACACTCGAGCACAAACACACAAACACACGCACACACACACACACATACTTTCACACTTCTCTCCCCCTTCTCTCTCTCTCTATATATATATATCTCTCTCTCTATCTCTCTCTCTCTCGACTCACTCTCTCCTTCACTTTTTCTCTCTCTCTCTCTCTCTCTCTCTCTCTCTCTCTCTCTCCCTCCCTCCCTCCCCCCTACCATATTTCTCTTCTGCCACCCCCGTCCCTCCCGCTTCACAACTCAGTGCCACTCCAATACACTCAAACACAATTTTTTACACAAGCCTCGTTTTCTACACAGAGCATTGTTTGCAATAACATTAAATCGTCAAACAAAATCAGGGCGATAAGCGTTCGATGGCCAAAATTATCTCCCAATCTGAAGTGCAATGAGCCATGCAGGGACCACCGAGCAAATATAACTGTTCAAACGATATTTAACGGAATTAGTCATACTCAATGAAAGTGAAACAAAAATGAAGCCAAGAGAATAAAATCCAGACCTTTAGCAAAAATGTGCTGGCCTGTCGGTTGAGAAATGAGTTAATTGACTTCAAACATTGATAAAGCGTTTCCATGGTTGCAGATTTTTGGTTAAATTATAGAAGTCTGTTCTAAACAGTAGTCGTAAAAAGTTGCAAAGCCAATAATAAACTTTAGATTAAAAAAGAAACAACAACAACAAAAACAACAACAACAGCAACAACAACAACAACAACAACAGCAGCAACAACAACAAAACCCAAACAAACGAACGAATGAAAGCTACACACCGCAGAATTCGAACATGGAATTTTTCCAGAGTAAAATGACATATTTATTGGTTAATTATTGAACTTTTTTTTCTCGTCTTGTACCCTTTTTGGTGGAGAGTTTTTATGTTCCTTCGCTGACAGCAGTAAAAAGAGGTCATAGAATAATTATCAAGTGCCGAGACTGAAATGCACTTTTATGTAATCACGCTAAAAGCGTCTGACATCCAATGACAATATATATATAAATATATATAAATATATATATATATATATATATATATATATATATGTGTGTGTGTGTGTGTGTGTGTGTGTGTGTGTGTGTGTGTGTGTGTGTGTGTGTATGTGTGTGTATGTGTGGGTGTTTGTGTGTGTGTGTGTGTGTGTGTTATGAGCCGAGAAGGATAAATGGCGACAAAGAGAGGAAGAAACAGAGAGATAAAGAGAGAGAGAGAGAGAGAGAGAGAGAGAGAGAGAGAGAGAGAGAGAGAGAGAGAGAGAGAGAGGGGGGGGAGAGGGAGGGAGAGGGAGAGAAAATGAGAAATGTAAAACTTGTATACCGTAAACTGGGGTGACTCAAGCACCCCGGGGTGACTAAGGCAGGTAACTGTGAAAATGTTCTGGTAATTTTAAGATGATTAATTTTTATCGATATCAAAAGTGATTTTTAGTCATTTGTGGTGTATTGATATGAAAATATCTTATCTATTGCACTTTAAACGTTTAAAGGTGAGTATTAGGCGCTTAGACGAGTCAGGTGTACCATAGAAAGTGTGTATTTGAAAGAAAACAATATGCAAGGTAAGGTTTTGACAAGGGGTACTTTAGTCACGCCAGGTGTCCATAGACACATTGTCGGGGTCACTAAGGCACCCTGAGCTGATGACTGTATCGAGGTTCATTGTTGGTTACTTTGTGACTTGTTATACTTAAAATTTCTAATTTTGTAGTGATACATCTCCTCTATCAGAATATCAGGGTAATGACATGCGTATATATTTAAATGTTTCTTACACTTTTTCGTAAATAATGAACTACTTACTATATTTTTTCAATCGCATAAGCCCTTTTGTATGTTCCCTGTGTGTGTTATTGTGTTTTCCAAAAGAAAATTTAAGATAATGATAAGTCTAATGATAATGATAATGATAATGATGATAATAATGATAATGATAATTTTGGAAAGGAGTGGCAGGAAATGTGGGAGAAGGTGGTGGGATATCAGCGAATGAGTTCAATCAGGCATCCTATACTCGCAGGCCTTGGGCCAATTGAGACGTGGCCCCCTTCTTGACACCAAAGTTCCCACCCCACCCCAAAGCGGCTTTCAGTATGAAAACGATCTGTCTACATACATCATGGTTTGGGACCTCCGTTCTCTTCTTATACTATCTTAAGGTATTGTATAAGCTTAGCATCCTTTTCTACACATTAATAAAGATAATAGGATAGATTAAATGTTGGTCTCCAATCGTACACAAGAACTAATGAGCGCCAGAGATGTCCACGCACAACAGATGTATTCTTGGTCGTTTACACTGTAGCTTAGCATGGTGCTCATGTGATGATTTACCCCGTTTCCTTCCCTCTAAAATATTCATAGATCTCTCTCTCTCTCTCTCTCTCTCTCTCTCTCTCTCTCTCTCTCTCTCTCTCAAATAACAGTAATATAAAACGACACTCATTGTTCCAGCACAGTTTGACAGTCCACGACCTTTAATTGCGTGTTTTCACAATCTAGAAAGGACTTAGTTTTTCATCTTTATAGCAACTAAGTAGTAGGCATTGTCATCTCTTAGAGACAGAAGACATGACAGATGTTAATTGACTCATCAAAATCAAAGCAATGTAAAAGATTTATCCCTACTTAATTTAACTGGGGACTGTCAGGGATTAAACACCGTTTTCATTGTGATAAGACCAGCTGACTCATATTGTGTGTATGTGTGAGTATGTATATATATATGTATTTACATAAATGATAGATAGACAGACAGATAGATAGATAGATAGATAGATAGATAGATAGATAGATAGATAGATAGATAGA